TAAAGCAGGGCTGTCCAGTCCTGGTTCTGGAGGGGTCAGTGTGTCTGCAGTCTCTCCTGGTCTCTTTAAAGCAGGGCTTTCCAGTCCTGGTCCTGGAGGGGTCAGTTTTCTGCAGTCTCTCCAGGTCTCTTTAAAGCAGGGCTGTCCAGTCCTGGTTCTGGAGGGGTCAGTGTGTCTGCAGTCTCTCCTGGTCTCTTTAAAGCAGGGCTGTCCAGTCCTGGTCCTGGAGGGGTCAGTGTGTCTGCAGTCTCTCCAGGTCTCTTTAAAGCAAGCTGTCTAGTCCTGGTCCAGGAGGGCCTTTCGTGTTTTTCATTGCAAGCTGGTTTTAGTTAAGGGGTCCACATGAACAGCACTCCACACATTATGCTGGCGCATTAAGTGAAAAAACAGAGTTAGAAGCCGGAGCCGCGCGGCATCCTCCAACCCTGCTGGATCATATATCACGTGACAGGGGGCGACTTCTGTGGTTCGGGGAAAAACTCAGCTTCTCGAGCTCCCCTATCACGTGGCGCGAGTAGGACGGCCATCTTTTTTTAAAACACAAACAAGGAGCGAGTGAGCACAGCGACAAACGCGCAACGACTGTTGGATACTACTTGCATTTAAAAATAGAATTTAAAACAACAGTAGTAATAATAGTTATTAATAATAATAGCAGCGAGTAATCCGGCGGAGGAAAAAAAATCGAGACAGCGGAAAGAAGACGAACAAAATAATTCAAGGAGAGAGAAATACATTTAAAAAACTCAAGTCGGGAACATAAACAAAACGCAGGTAAGCGCCAGACTTGCTTCTTCCCGGGTTTAACTGTATTTTTTAGGAGGAGGTGTGTGTGTAAGCGACAAGGGTGCGGTTTGTCTGTTTGGGGGGCTCTAAGTCTTGCGCGGATTGAGGGTTTCTTTCGCCTCGTCGTGGGGATGAAAGGGCAGGAGGAAAGACCGAGAGCAGGTGAAGGCCGCGGCGAGAGCAGCGGGGTAGAGTTGGAGGGGCGGCCGGCGGGGAGGGGAGG